AGGAAGAAAATTAACTCTATCCCTGCCAAAACCAGGACACTTCCTCAGAAAACATTGGATCAGATGATCTTTTGAGGTCCCTTCCAACATGGGTTCTATGATTCTGTGATTGATTCTGTGATTCTATATCATGTTAACACAAAGCATCTCTTCACTCTGCCCCTAGCACCCACCCTCTCACAGCAGATGCCATAGAGTTAGTGCAAGACAATCAGGCAACATAACTGGGGCTGAATATAAATCTAAAAACTGTAAATGTCAGTCAAGGGCAAATATTGTCAGGCTGTGACAACACAAAAACATCTGGACTCAAAAGGCTCTAGCACTACTCTAGGTGGGGACCCCTGTGCTTTTCTTTGAAGGACTAAGGTCTCAGTAGGGCAGGAGAGCTCCGTGGATCCCATTGCAGGGGTGCTGAGGGGCACCATGGGGAGCAAGCAGCTGGGGCAGTCAGGCCATGTGTACACTGAGCATGGGATTTAATACAGCCTCCCCTGCAAAGCAGGACTGAGGACATTATGGAAAGAGTATGGCAAATACGTCTTATATTGTTCATGCTGTGCCTCACACAGAAAAGAAATCCATCCACAAACTCTTGATTCATTCCCACACTAAAATTGACTAGGAGGATGCTTTTTGATACATCCCATCCAAACTGATGACTTTGCTTCCATTGACAGGAACAAGTCAATTTTCATTTATGGTTAAGATCACCCTGGGAATATAAGGAAACCATAACATATATGCAATATGTCCTCAGATTTTTTTTTTTTTTTTTAAAGACAGTAATACAGCTATCCTCGGTGTAGTTGACACTCATGTCATATGAGTTCATAGAGAGGAAACCTATCCTGTGACAGTTTCAGTATCACTAATGCTAACTTCTCCCTTATTTCCTCCAGTATCTCAACATTTGAATGTGGGCATTATGGTTTTGTTTCTTTACTCACAACAACAGCAAGGTTGAGGCACGTGATGGTATCATTTTCTGTCCCAACAGACATATCAGGTTCAAAACGAGCAATGTTAGGCAGCATGTAGGATATTGTGCCATCAGAGTTTTCCGTGATATTTTCTTTGGGTAAATATCGCACCCTTGAAATACAAAATAAAAACAGAATGGTTTTAACATTTGATTTTTGAGACAACACATAACCATGCCTGACTGAAGTTTTTTGAAGTATTTTTTTATGAACTTTATTAGTTGAATGTTGAACATTTTATAACCACTGAAAGGACTGTAAACTTTTCATGAGATACATATGTAAAAATTCCATTTTCTGTAAAATATTTTTCTTATGGAAATATTTCCTTAGTGCTAAGGATTAGCCTAATGGATTTTTTTTTTCTTGATACTAAAATGAAAACAAATATCCTTTTTTTATTTTTATTTCATAAATGGACCTTGTATCTTTTTATATTTTGGTTTAAACTAATTAAGTTTTGTCACTTTTTTTCCTAAGCTTTCTTATGGTTGCATGTAATTGGAAGGGGATGACTCAGAATGGTTAATAAGCACTCTTAAGTTTTGATTTGATAGGCTTGTGTTACAACAAAACAGATTACAGGTCAAATCCATAATGGGAGTCACTTTGATAACATTTCATATGCATGATTTATAAGCAGTGTTTCAGCTCCACTGAGATTCTTGTAAGCCTCTCAAGCATGCCCTATCAGCAGGTCACAAATCTCTAAGCTGCTGCAATCCTAGCTTTAGCTCAACTCTTGAAGTCCCCGTCCTCTTGCTGACCCTTCTGCAGGGGCAGCATCCAGCAGGCATCACATGACTTAGTCTATACTGTGGGTCCACAAAGCTTGTCCCAGCTCCATCCCAGAAGGGATCTTCAGGGTACTCCATCAGATCTTCCAGCCTGGGCTTGGGGGACCAAAATGTTCAGAGACCATTTCCCCATGGTACAGATGTAGCTAGTGCAGGTGGGCTTTACCCCAAAAGCAGCTTGATCTTGGCTTCTCAAGATTGGTTTGTAAGGATGTCATATTAATTAATAGCCTAATGTGTAGAGCACATACCTGAAAATTGGGAGGTTTTTTTCTAATTAATGTTACTTCTAACTCGAAACAAAAGACCCAAACCAAGGTTTCCCAACAGAACTGCAGGGACAATTGCATTTCAAGGCCTGTTGTTCTACATTGTAATAAATAATTAAACATTTAAAGGGAGATTGAGAGACAGACTCAGTGTCACAGTGTTTCAGGTAGGCACAATATCCCAGATGAGCATGACCGCAGCATTGAGAAGAGCTACAGCCATCATTTCTTACATAGTCTCATCTGGGCTTCTGGCCAAGTTTTTTCCTTGAGAAAATAGGCACCATCACCACCACCAGAGTAAAACATTTCTGTTTAGCAGGAGTTCACCTTCTGCAGTATTTGTTAACTGATTAGTTTCCTGATCCCTGTGTAGCCATTTCCTATGTCTTCCCAGGTACTCTATGAACCAAGAGGTCTCTATTTCCAATGAGAAATAAATAATATTCTAGGCATCAAAGCACCTCAGCTGTAGATGTTACAATGCAAAACCATCTTGCAAATATAATATACATCCCCAAGATATAAAGAAAGAAATATCATTTTAGGAAAGCAATTTCATAACAAGGGTGCCTGTGATAGCTGGGCATTGGTCTTAATGAGTCAGGAAGCATCAACTAGTCCTATGTCAACATCACATTTAAAATTAAGCAAATTATTAAAAGCTTCCCTGAATGGGGATGGACTGCTGCATCTAGGCCCTAGCTTATACATTCGGAAAAATTAATGTTTTCAGAGGAAAAACTGAAAAAGGTAAAGCTATAGATTAAAAATGTCATAAAGGAAGAAAGAAACAAAACATATTATTAAAATAAATATGAGTGATACATGGGTGGTAAGATAACTTCTTGGTTTTAGGACATCTGGCATATTTTCTTCTACATAAAGAAAAAATGAACAAAAAATTGGCAAAAAATGAACAGCAACAAATGCAAACCTGCCTGTGTGTTGTTGTGGCAAACACCTTGCTAATGAACAATCGTTCTTCACATGAGCAAACAGCTTCACACCCATTTACCTATTTCTTCATGTGCTTTCCCAATGTGAGACCTAATACAGAAAGTGTTTGTGATTGCTGTGTGTAGTTGCAATTTAGGTATTTTTGTCAAGTCTGACTAAAATATGAGACTGGAATTTCAAACCCAAATTTTAACTCATTAGAACTTTCTCTGACTTTAAGAAAACTTCTGATATGACACGTTACATATTCAGGGGGCTTTGCTTACCTGTATGTGTAAGGTCCTCTTTGCTCAAGTTTTGGACGTGCTCCTTTGTCTAATACCTCTGAAGGATTTTGCACATGGAAAACCCAAAATTGCCTGTAAACGGAACTTCCTGGCACAAGCCAATTTTCAAAAGCAATGGTACCATTTGCAATGACAGCTTCCTAAAAGGACAAAAATCAAAGCTAAAATTAACCACAAAAATGAGTGAAAAGCTGCAGATGATTGTAGAAGATTCCCAAACAAACAAGAAAAAAAGCTATTTTATCATCAATACGAGCCATGCAGTGCACATTTTTGGCCAACATTTGAAGGCAGCCTGACATTCCT